TGAAGAGATCAAGTGATAAAACGATTGCCATCTTATCTCTTGTTGTCTGATAGTTTAATGTGTTTCAACTTCAACTATTAGACATTAATTCTAAACATAAGGAGCCTTAAGAAGCCTTTTTGGTCATAGATCATTATTTAAATTAGGAGCAGAGGTGACGTCACACTGTGTGAGAGATTCAGCTTTGCAGTTGAGTATTTCAAAACATGAACAGATTGATCAGTGTTGACATTTTAAACCGTATTAAACATCTTGTAATAAAAGGTTTAAATAATTTAGTTGAGTAAGTTTTTAAAAGTATATACTGTTATTAGTACTTTCACCACACTGTACTATTGACATTAATTTGAGTAACAGTAATATAAAGCATAATTTAGAGGAACGTTTGACACTCTACCCACTCCTACAGCAAACATTTCCATGAGTATTACATAAAAAATGTAAACTGTATTTTTACTCATTGGTTCCCTCTTTTAAATATAGCAATAAACCCAAAGAAATTAATAATAAAGTTTTATATCATAGCGAAAGCCGTAACGCTCCACTTGTGAAAGTAATAAACCTGTTGAGCTTCTCTATACAGCACTCAACATTTTTTACTGCCACCCTGGCAGACACGTTAAAATAAAAAATATGTATAAAAATAATGTTCTTTGAACTTTTGGTTTTTATAGAGAAATTAGAATGTACTATAACTGGAATAAACAGGTCAAAGCTCTGCAAATCAATCAGAAGTTGGCTACAAAGTTCCTCTGTGAATCTTTAATTTCAGCTTTTTTATATTTTCTTTTCTCCTATCTGAGTCCTAAACTTTCCCATATGCGAGACTCTGTATTTTAGTTTATTTTTGGGGTTGCTCTTGGCAACACAGAGGGGTATTAGCAGCGACATGCTGCTAATGGCTATTGTAAAGGCATATCAATAACTCCTGATGCGTGTTGTTGCTATTGTCTGTGGTTTTCAGTCAGCTGCACTCGGACTCTATCCTTCAGATTTTATAACTCAACATTTGTGTGCACTTTTTCCAAAATAGCAAGCTGAGAATGTTATTTAGCTTAGATATTCAGATATTTTATAGCGTTTACTTTGAAAAGAAAAAGAAGCTACTGAGCGAGTAGCTAGTAGCTGAATGTGCCTGTCTCAGAAATACAGCTTTGGCTCATTAGGCGATTCATTTAGCAGAAACGCAGATTAACTCTTAGAAAAGGAGAAGTGGTAATAATGAAATACTAGAAACAGATTCCACCTTAACCTTTTCCCCCAAGTCTGCTCTACAACCCTGACTGGAGGACTTCTGTCAGCTCGCTTCCTCCACAGAAATAGTGATTTATTGTCCGACAGCTCTGTTTGCACTGAGAGCGTTGATCTGTATGCAGGAAGCAGAAGGCTGCACTGTGTAATTAGCATATCTGCAGCGGGGCTACAGCATCGCCGGGGTTAGTCATCATCAGAAACGTGGCACGATTTCCAGGACGTTCAAAGACATCAAACCAGACAGACAGATTTGCCCTCGCAGTAGGAAAACATGTCAAGTGCTGCTGTGGGCGTCAGACCGCCAGCTTCATCTGTAAGAACTCGTGTCTGGCGCCGGTCCGTTAGCGACGGGGTGCAAACTTCTCCCAACAGCTTCACCTGAGACGGGAGAAGCTTTGTGTTCACCGTCACATTAGAGCAAAATCTCTGCGTGATTCCAGCTGCATCCCGATGAATACGAGCGTCACTGAAAAGTTTCTTTCAGAAACTGAAGCTCATGTTGTATAGATCAGGGGTGTCCAAAGTGTGGTGCGGGGGCCATTTGTGGCCCCTGAAGTAATTTTGTCAAGTCTTGAATGCTAAAAATTTGACCATCAAAATAGGAAAAAAAAACTGACGCAAAAGAAATCTGTCTCTCTATCAATAAGGCAACACTTAAGTACCCTATTTATGCTTTGGATCTTTAATGATTAAAAAAAAGTAGATTTGAGCAGGTAAAAAAAAGAGGAAACAAATTTTTAATTTAATAAATTTTGTGGCCTGAGGGCAAAAAGATTGGACATGACTGATCTAGATTGATCAAATAAAATTATGTATTAATTAACCAATACACAAATGTCATGTTATCGTCTGCAGATGACGCTAATTGTCATGGTGGGTACGTTATGTTTATAAAAAGATGCTTTTTTTAAAAAGAAAGTTTAGTGGAAGGAAAATGTTTGGATTTTAAGAAAGGTGAAAGATGAACAGGTATAACTGGATTGAGAGGCAAAGCCCATTTAAAAGTAAAACTCTTACAGGATTCATGGAATTTTGTCAAAAAGACGACGTAACCATGGAGATGAGCTGAAGGATGCAAAGTTATTGAATCCTCATTCTGTCCAAAAACAAAAACAAAAATCCTCAAACTTCATAATCAGGGAAAGCCATATGAAGTCATTGCTACAGAAGAAAGTTGTGTGGAAGGAAAAAGTGTGGCAGAAAATGTGCAGAAGCCTTTAGTTTCTAGTTTTTAATTTGTAAGGCAAAAACATCATTAACCAAAACGAACTGGCTAATAATGCTTCATTGTGTGTGATAAACATGAGCTTCACTACAAATTGAATAACTTAAATTCCTCTCATGAGGCGCTCCTGTACAGCGTCTGAATAGCTGCTCTTATTCCTGACAGGCTTTTACCCGCTGCTCTCTGATGTCAAACAAAGGAGTTGGAAAGGAAGACCGACAATCCCAGAGATAAAGAAACTGTCAGGCTGGAGGAAATGAAAACGTCTCTCCTGTCTTTAGCTGATCTGTAAACAGTTTCCTTCGACATGTAGCGCCGCCGCCTCAGATAAGGATATTACTCCGTCTTTGTGTGCTGACACAAGACGCACCTTTTGCCTCCCTGGTCACCGCTGCAGGTCCCCCCCGTGACGTTTACGTCTTAATTTATCCCTCCCTGAAACGTTTTCTGATTCCCTCTGAGCGCCTCTGCGTTTGTCAGGCCTCCCATGTGTCACCGTGTTGTTGTTCTGCTACATCTTTACTATCGAGCTCCTTCATCGACCCATTTCAGCTTCTCTTTTATCAGACGTCCGCTGCTGGCTTGTTTTTCCTCCCCCTCTCGCCATTCCTGACCCTTCTCCTTTCTGTTTATTTCAAGCTGCCTGCTTTCCATTGATATTCCAAGCTAAGAGTCGGTGCAGACAGAAATACTCCCCGCTGCAGATCTGCACTGATCTCCATTTTTATTACGCCTCTTTCTTTCTCTCTTTGTCTGCCTCATCTGGTGGCAAACATCACTGCTACTTTCTGAAACATCCTTTAATCTGAACGCTTGTCCGCCTTTGGGTGTTTCTCCCAAACACTTGGAACGTTTTGGCAAGGACGATGCATGTCGCCTCCCTACAGCTGTTCCCATTAAGACTGCACTCTGCATCTGGAGTGTTTGCAACATTTGAGCCTTTTTAGTGATTGTATAGTATAGTCTGATGTACATGTTTAACGCTGAGGACATTCTGCTAATTCACGTGTCAAACTCGAGGCCCGTGGGCCACATCTGGCCCGCCAGGTTCTAGACTAAACATTAAATATTAGCAATCAAATCTATGCAGTTTTTATCGGCTTTTATCAGTCCCTCCAGTTTCATGTGAATTACCATAGAAATTCACGCAAAGTCAAAAATTATCACGAATAATTGGGAGTGTATTGCAGATTTTTCTCAAAAATTGTCAAAAACTTTCTTTCTCGTACTAAACAGCTGCCTCAGATGTACCTTGATGTCACATTATAGTCCATGATCTATAGAGCAAGTAATAAAAAGTTGCACTTATCGTCATAAATAAGCACAAATATTTCCAAATTAGTACCACAAACACTTTGATTTTCACTGCGAAGAATCAGAAAAAGAATAACGAAATCTAGTTGTTGCATTTTATCAGTGACGTCTCATAACTCAAGCTTCACTTAAAGCATCCCAAACTGACAATTCTGCCTCTGTGCTTCAGGTTGTACAGGTTTCTTCCTGGAACCTCATTGTTTCTGTTGACCATGTGGTTCTGTGAGCTATTACACATTATTGACTGAAAAGATGTTCAATAATGTTTAATTTTAAGAATTCATTGATGTTTTATCAACATTCTGGCACAACCGGCCCTTTAAGCGCATCACATCAAAGTTGTTCTTTCTTTTCCTTAAACTAGCTCATCTTATGATCTTGTAAATTGGTGCAAAGGATTCTTAAATCTAGTAGGTTAAAGTTTAAAATCATTTATATTCATCCAGAAAGATTGTTTCTGATAGGAAAATATGATAAAACAATGTAAAGAAGGATCAATAAAAAAAAAAGTGGTGTCCATAGTTTTATCCTTAGTGTGGATCCAGTAGTTTTGAAAGCGTGTGCAGTCAGAACGGTCATGTCACATTTTCCAACTTTTACGTCGTTGACGTGTCAAACCAGATGCAGTGGTGGTTCTATTGTCAAAAAAAGTTTTGTGAAATATACTAATTTTGAAATTAGAAAAATTTGAAAAACCTCCTTATTCTACTTCAGAAACTTTTTATCAAAAAATTAGAGTTTTTTTCACAATTAGCGTGTTTCCATTCAGTGAATTCATTAATGTAATTCCAATTTGTGCAATTTTAAGGTCAGTGTGAAAACAGCAAGCCGTGCAGATGGAAACGAAGGTTTTAATTCATCGTCGACGTATTGATTATTGCTCTGGTCTCATCTCCAAGCAAACCTGAGAAACCTCCAGTTAAAACTGTTAGGTTTGATCATTTTTCAAAATGCTCTGAATGGATTAAACTTGAACAGAACTTCAAGGTTGATGGATTTTAATTGTGCAGTAGTAAAACACAGAAGCTGCTCCAGCAGAATGCATCAGAGGAACATGTTGCAGCAACGCCACCACCGACGTTGCTCTTTTCTCATGTTGCTAACTTCTTTTTTTATCTCTTTCCAGCAGCGGCTGCAGCGGCGCCGCAGTGATTCCCGCTCTCCGGCACGATCTAATTTCTGCCTCCTCTCTCTCGTTTCTGCCCAGGTGGAGCTGGAGAGAGGGAAGACCCTCCACATCAAGGCTCTGGCGCTGGGCGACCTGAACAAGGGCGGCCAGAGGGAGGTGTTCTTCGAGCTGAACGGCCAGCTGCGGTCGGTGCTGGTTAAAGACACCGTGGCCATGAAGGTACGGAGAAAACACGGCGGCCATGATGAACGGCCAAGGGAGTGCAGAGGGTTTATGGAGATGCTGACGGATGGCGGCGGTCGGAGGAAGGATAAATGAGGGATGTCTGATAGATGAGACGGCAGAGAGATGAATAGATCTCTGTGGGTGAACTATTAATAGACGGAGGAGGAGAAGGCTCTTTATTCTGAGGCCTGACCGTGTGAAACCACACCAACGCAGGGAACCACTAATTTTTATTCATGGAGACAAAAGCAGGACTCAGGTCGACTTCTGTGTGTTTGTCTCTCAGCTGGAGGTCAGAAAAAGATCGAATTTATATTCTTTATTTTCAAAATACGTTCAAGTTACGGTACATGTCTTTGCATTGCACGTTACGCACATTTTGAATAATTATTTGATAAAAGTTAGTTGTAAGTTAGTATTGTTTTACTTCAAGTATAGATATTTTCACTAGAAACTAGGCCAACACTACAAAGTAATCTACAAGGCTAATATGTACATGACTTTGTTCTTTTGTGTTGGGGCATTTTAGCTTATAGATGATGTTTGTATTGTTTTCTGCTTCTTTCTATTGCTGTTATGCTAACTCCTGCATATTTACATCGATGCTTAATGCTAAAATACTGATTAATATGCATTGTTATAATCTGAAGTGTGGATGGAGGCCCAGCAGCTGGGAGGATAAACGGAGTCAGGCGAGTTCAGACGACTGAGCGGACTGATGAATCACACTTTTACTGCTTTTTTCCAGGAAATGAAGTTCCATCCCAAGGCCCAGAAGTCCATCAAGGGTCAGGTGGGGGCGCCGATGCCGGGAAAAGTGCTGGAGGTCAAAGTTAAAGTCGGATCCAAGGTCAGTTCATAACCGCTCAGTCAGGATTTCTGACACCTGGGGTTGAGTTATCCCTCGATCTTTGATCCATCACTCAAGTTGCAGCTTTTGGACCCGTTCTGCTCTGTGATGTTCCCAGCCGGGCCGCTCATGTTGTTAGGAGGTATTTGAGGTAGATGTCACCTGCAGATCAGGAGCAGCTCTGGTGTCAGAACGACTTAGAGAGACTTCAAGCTTTAGTTTGTGCCGTTGTGTCAGGATTTCTGCTCCAGCACTCCTGACGTGGTGATCCTTTTCAATACGACTGACATTTTCACAGTGTCAGCTCAGCTGCACCAATGTTCGTCTTTAGTTTCCAAACCACAAAATATGTTGTATGTGACTGGAAACAAACAGGAAGTTCCTGAAAACGAAGGGACTGCGGCTGTAGAAATGCACCAATCAGATTCAAATCTGTCCATTTTCTCTTAAACTAATCCACCAATTAAATATTAAAAACAGATTGGTGCTTAGAAATAATAATAAAAAAAAGATTTTTTAAAATACATTTATCAAATTTATCTTAAGAACTTCCTTTTCATTTCATGATTGCATCAGAAAATGTGTTAAATGACCTTTTAGGAGCTGAATGATGAAGATGTGACCCGGTGCTTTTAACTCCTCAATTTTAATACCTCGATTAAAGAACCTGCAAAGCATTTTTATGTGCTTCAGTTCTTTGAATAAAAACAGCAGAATGGTTCAGACTGGACTGGGCCAGGTTAGATGTCAGAGAAAACCCCAACGTTTCATCTCAATTGTCCATTTTCAAATTCATTTTGTTGCTAAGATGGTTAAAGTTGGTGTATTTCTAAACCCAAGTTTTATGTTTGCAGCATTTTTACATTCTCAGGCTGATGGGGGTTTCTCCAAAGGTCATTAGAGTTGAAGCTACATGTTTTAAATTTGTTAAAACGGGAGAACTGTGGTGGCGCAGGGGCAAAGCACAACCTATGTTTTGAGGCCTTATGCCGGTGGTCGCAGGTTCGATTCCCGACCTGGCGACATTTGCCGCATGTCTTCCCCCTCTCTCATAACCCTCCACTAGAGCCAACAAAACCTTAAAAAAAAATTAAAACATATTTTGGCCTCCAGAATCATAACCGGT